ATTTTCATCGATGAAATTGATTCGGTTGGTTCGAAACGAGTAGCCGATGCCATGCATCCTCATGCTAATCAAACAGTCAATCAGGTGTGGTATCGTTTTATAGTATTTGGAAAATAATAGCCACATATAATATTTTTTCCATAAATAGTAGATTGTCGGATCAGTTTTTACAAAACTATATCATTGTTCGCCAGAGATTCACAAATTTTGTTGCTGAAAAACTAATATTGTGTTCATCATTCTTTTTTAAAATTGTAGCATCGAATTGAAAAAATGGATTTGTGTTTTTATTTAGCTGCTTTCCGAGATGGATGGATTCAATACAAATGATGGTGTCATCGTTATTGGAGCCACGAATCGAGTCAAGGATTTGGATCCAGCTCTTCTTCGTCCTGGTCGCTTCGACGTTCAAGTTCAAGTTCCTTATCCTGACTTAGAAGGACGCAGGGAAATTATACAGTATGCTTTTCCTTATTTTTTTCAATATCATTTTTTTTATTATCTTCTGCATAATTTTTGAGTATTGTTTTTAAGGTTATACTTAAGCAAAATATCAACTAATGATGATGTAAACGAAGATATACTAGCTAGAGGAACCACAGGATTTACTGGAGCCGAAATTGAAAATATGATAAATCAAGCAGCTCTCAAAGCAGCTGGAGATGGATTTAGGAAAGTCACTATGGCACATATGGAAGAGGCGAAAGATCGTGTTATGATGGGTGCGTTTCGTTATTTTAATTTTAATTTTAGCCTATTCTTGACACTTTTTTATCGCAATGTTTGTAAGCTGCTCTTTGTTTAAAAGGACGTACTTCAAGATGCTTTGCGCTCAAGATTTATCATAATCTTAATTTTTAAGAAAAAATACAATATGTGAGACGAAGTTTTTTTTTAGGACCGGCACGGATTCGTGGTCGACTGCCAGATGAGGAAGCTAATCGCATTACTGCTTTTCATGAAGCAGGTCATACTCTTGTTAGCATTTATACAAAACATGCTGTTCCAGTTCATAAAGTAACAATTATACCAAGAGGTGGCTCATTGGGACATGTTAGTTTTTAACTTTCTTTATATAAAGTTTTGCATTAAGTTGTTGTTGTAGTATTAGCTTTGCAAAACTTTTTAAAACATTGATCATTTTCTGATCATCTTTTTATCGTTGCATTCGTTAAATATATGTCTTTTTTATAGACATCGATGTTGCCGCAAAAGGATGAATATCACGTAAATCGGGCCCAAATGTTAGCACAGCTAGATACTTTAATGGGCGGCCGAGTAGCTGAGGAGCTTATCTTTGGCCCAGAAAAAGTAACTACTGGCGCCGGTGATGATTTGAGGAAGGCAACAGAGCTTGCAAAAAAGATGGTCATGACTTTCGGAATGAGTGATAAGGTTAATTTATAATTTGCAATTTAGATTGTGATCCAATTTATTTTGTCTCATGAAACCAGTCATTTTTTTGGACTTTTTATGCAAAAATTACGGAATTTTTTGGGTGAGGACTTGAATATTGTAATCTCTTTCTCGAATCAAACTTCCTTCACAAACCGAAATTTTGAATATAGTGAATTATAGGGAAAAACGATCATTACTGATCCTTCAGGCTTGATCTCTTTTAATGTCACTATTTCAAACGGTGGATTGTTTATTGCAATCTTTGAATAATATCTTCAAATGAATTCAGTTATTTTTGTATGTTGGAAATTGCTGATGTAATTCATTTCCGCTTCAGGTAGGCTTGAGGATCGCAGATGACGAATCGAGATCGCTGGTAGCTGATAATCAGTTGAGCTCACCGTTGTCAGAGATGATTGATAAAGAAATCAGTCGTTTCTTAAAGGAATCCTACGAACGTGCGAAGGATATACTCATCAAACATAAGGTGTAGTGAATTACTGAAAGCACTAACTAAACGATTTTAAGAGTCGAGTTTCGTAATAAAAGACTTTTTCTTCTATTTTGATTTTTGTGCATTTTTCTTTTACAGAAAGAACACGAACTTTTGGCTGCAGCATTATTGGAACATGAAACATTATCAATAGAAGAAGTGAAAGAGTTGCTTCAAAATGGCAAATTGCTTCCACGTGCTTCAGAAAAACAGGAAGAAGCAAAAAGCAAGAAATCATCCATTCGATATATATATAAAAATCCAACTGTTATCATAACACCAATCGATGAAACTATTCCAAAAGAGGAAAGGCAGATCTAGCAGATAAATATAATCGATACATGATGTTTGTTGGTCAAACTATTTCAGCTTTTAACAACTTTATTCATATTTTTAAGACTTCTACTTTTAAGCAGTAATAGCGCATAAATTTATCCAAATTGTTCTTTCAGTTTAGTCGGGATATTTAATCATATTTAGATTACTGCATTCAAGAATACAGTGACACATACCACAACATACTGTTTACCAGGTCGTGATCTATTCTAAAAGTAAAATTGAAATTGTTTAAACTTTCAACTTCAGAGAATTGATAGATGAGGGAGGATGTGAGAAAAGCGGAGAGGATGGTATGAATTTGTAAGTTACTTGACTTTATCTTCGGCATTCATGATATATGGTATAAATTTTTTGTACATAGTTATCTGTTATTTAAATTTTCATCTATCCTCTTTTTTGTAAAGGCATCCTTGTAACTGGTGTATGTTCTTAAAATTATTTTCAGCACTAAAGAATTAATAAAAAAATATATTTTGCTGATTTCTGTGATGTCTTAAGAGTTCTATTTGTATTATGCTGTGTAGTACCATTAATATTGTTCCAATGCGACTATTTGCTGTTGCCATTTGCTCAGATGGGAGTCAATTCTACATTTAAAAAATTCCTTCCTATCATGAGTGTTATTTTGTTAATAGATTAGACGATATTAATGAGCGGTGCGAATGTTGTAAAATAATCCATATCATGTAAGACATAATTGTGTTGAAAATATAACATCTCATCCAGTCTATCATGTTAAATGACGCCGTTTATGAGAAATGCTTGAATCGAAATAACCAAGGGATTTAAGGTAGCATAAGCTTTTTTTGTGAAAAATTGTTTGATTTTGAGAACTCATGGCTGGAGTAGGGGTGTCGATTTAAATGATTAAATTTGAGTTTATTGAATATTTCAAATTTAAAGCTTCTGCTGCTGTGGCTTGGAACAAAATTTTTGGAACACATCAATGTGGGGGAATCAATGAATTGCGGAACAATAGAGAGAGTGATAGGAAAGCCATGAAATTAGTGAATGGATTTATTGAGTGTATTTTATGATTATTTTCAATTGTTCTGACTATATGCAAGCAAAACTGCAATATATTACAATGATCAGGTTAATGACTCACAACCATAATGATGTTTACTTTGTAAGAAAGTTGTTAAAGACAAAGTTGAAGTTAGCAATTGGGATTAAAAATTAATTGAGTTGGATATCTGTTTTAAAACGAGAATGGCTATGATTTGTTCTTACGAATAGCATAATGTTAATCCAACAAATAAATGACTCATATTTGCGATTTTTTTATTTTAACGTTGTTGCTTTGTTGGTGGATATATTCGTCTGTTTATTGAGTAGAGGAATTCAAATATTGGTATTCAAATATTGGTCGAAATTCAAAATCATTAAACAAAATTCAAAAGTTGCTGAATGCAGAATTTCCTTAACGTCGAAAGATGCTAACGAAGTTGTAAGTGAAGAGCAGGCTAAAATGCAAGTTTTATTAGTGATAGGAGATTCTTTTCAAAATTATGGCACTAAAAAATAACAGAAGTGTAAAAAGGCTTGAGATTTAAATGATCTAGAAAATGGTGAATATTTTATATGATAGTGCTAATCAATTAATATGTTTAAATCCTTCAGTACAATGAGAATTGAGAAAAAAAATTAGAGCTTAAAATAATACAGCAAATATATATCAATACAATTATGACAACAAGAGGTGATATATACACTGATATTGAAGTCTTTATCTCTCGTAACAACAATAATCACTATTTACCACTACTATATTTAATCCCTTTTTGCATCATTCATTTCTTCCCGTTTCATTTTCAATCAATTTAATTGTGATTATGAATGCATGTTTTGATAAATATTTTCCACCTTCTTCATTATTTTTTCATTAGACAGATTTGTTTGTTATGCTTGAGATAATGAGATTCTCACTTCCTTAATATATATGGAAATAGTGCAACTTTCATCTATCATTACACTTTATTATTTTTCCTTTAAATTTATTTTCTCTATCTAAATTCCAATAACAGATGGTTCAATGCTATAAGTCAGAAAGTCTTAAGAAAGATATTAATTTCATCTCGAAGAATATAGAATATTACTTCATTAGCATTCTTAAATTTAACTATTTGAATTCACTGAAACTATTGAAATGAAAAGAAAAAAAGTGTAAAAAATGTTTCGCTTAAACGACCATAAAATATGTCAGTCATGTGTTAAGCTTTATGACATTTAGCATATTCTTTTTCTCTTATTTTTTTATTCAAATAATCAAATTTAGAAATTAGTTGCCAAAACAACTTTATAAAAGTAAAAAATAAGCAAATTTGAAATCTCTGTTATTTTTTTAACTATATTACAACTCTTAATTCTGTTGTATGGTGAATTGGTATAAAAGAAAATAAAATCGTCGAAAACTTTGATGGAAAATTATTGGATGACAAAATGATATCTAATTAGAGACAGATAAATGAATTGGCTGAAACTTAAAAAAAGTTTCCATGGTTCGATGATATTTGCAAAGTTATATTAGATGAAGCAGATTCATTTATAAAATAGCCAAGAATTTTCATGATATAATCTAATAATTCCAAATTAAGTGTCAGTCCCATAATTATTAATTTTTATGGTATTGAAGAGTGAATTTTAAAACACAATTGTCACACATTTTACAAACAATTTTCAAATTTCAAAAGTAAAAAAGTAATAAAAAAATGTCGTAGATAGATTTTCTTCCTTTTTTTTTATAAGCACTAGCAATTTTTGAAATAAATCATTGGAGAAATTTTGAGAAAAGAAATATGAATAATGGAATAAGTTTGAAGAATGAAAGAAAGTATGGAAGTGCTCATGTATGATTGCGCTTACTTCATTATGCAAGATGAGTAGATGTTCTACCTGACAGCTAATCTTCAGATAGTGACAGGTACAAATATACATGTATATAACATGTATATAATGTATTCAATATCTCGTATATATAAGCTGTCAGCAACCGAAATAGGAAATAGAAAAAGAATGTGGTGGAATAAGAATAAGCCAAGTGCACATGTTTATAGCCTAAAGAGGATATATGAGGATTTTATTGATTTTGAAAGAAGTAAGAGAAAAGTGGCTATTGAAAAGATAAAACGAAAGGATACCCGAAGGGGTGAGATAATGGTCCATCATATTTTTAGTGCTATCTCTTCCATTCTATTCACTAAAACTTTTTCATTCTGTTTATGAATGAATTCATTTTTCTCATGGAAATTCTTCTTGAAGCATAATGCTTGAATTATGATTTGTAAAACGTGAGTTAGTTATAACTGACTGGAGATAATTCATCTCGTGATAATATTTCTGATATTCAACAAGTACGATTATTGACTCCAATATTATCAAAAAAACAAAAAAAAAACAATAACTATGCATAATGTTCTTCGTTATTTCAGGTTTGTTTTATATATACATATATTTAAGAAAATTTAATTTAAATAAAATGTTCTGTTTAAATTTTTTAAGATTTAAAAATTTCTTCGATTATGCAAAATTGTTTATGTCTGTTAGAAATTTTTATACACTCTTTATCTGTTACTTTTAGTGATGAAAATCTCGTTAACATACAATATTTTCAATTTGCTAATTAATTAGCTCGATTAAGATGAAGATTTTTTACTTATATAAAAGTGATCGCATTAAACGAATGGAAATGAACGGGTATGAAGCAGCAGGAGTTTAATATCACTAATTAAATATTGTGAAATAATCAGCACACATCGCTGATAGTAAAGTTTTACTCATACATTATCTATCAATTCAAACAAATTGTATGCATCACAATGCTCGCAAGTTATTTTGCTTGTAATACATTTTGAACCCTTTTTATTATTAAAAATTTACATTTCCAAATAGATGGATAAATTAGCTCATCTGTATTTTTTTTAATTCAATTAATTGAATATATATTCGATATTCCTGACTCTAATAGGCCTGAAAACTTAAGACCATTTATTTTCCATACTTTTCTTACAACGTTACAGTGCCTACTTAATATATACAATTCATAATTGATAAGTGATATACTTATCGATTATAAATTGTACGTATTATTCAAATTTTTTACTTGATTAGTTTAATCAATCTTTTTTATTCATTTTGAATGAAATCTTTACACGATATGCTCATAAATAAAGCCATACTGTGAGATTTCAATTCCCTTAGTGGTTGATTGATAAATTCGTCACATTCTTTCATCGTAACATAAAGGGTTGATGGAAAGGAAGGAAGTAAGAATTGGAACCAAAACTTACGCTTTTCATTTCTAACTTCGCTTTTATAGCAAAAAGCGCTCTCTATTTCGTATTAAAGTTGCAAAACTAAAAATAACATATGTTCAATAAAGTAGCACAGCTATAGGGAATTTGAAATTATTGAACTATAAGTAATTGGCTTACGTAAGTGAAGGTATTCAATCAATCTGTTTAAATTACTGTTACTTTCATAAGATGAATGAATGATAATGATATCCTTTTAGTTCAAGAAAACATCAGATTGTAAGTTTAAGTTTCAAATTTGAAATAGAAATGAAATTTCTCTTTGCAGGTGTGATGACGAAATCGTCTGCATATTGAAAATTCAGCAGCGGTTTCCGACTGTATATGGGCGGTAGATGCTCAAGGAGAGCACCAAGTCCAACGAAAAATCCGAAACTGTCTGATTTCCTCATTATACGTTCTATTGGTAGAGGTGCATTCGGCAAAGTTTGCTTTTTTGTTTTTTGAACATTACTTTCCCTTCAAATTTTATTTCCATTCTTTTTTTGATTTCAAAAATAATTTTTTGCTTCTGAAATATTAAAAATGCTTAAAGGCTTTTATACTCCTCTAAAGGTGTTCAAGCAGTTCAAAAGCGCATATATTACTGAACTAATCATACTGAATTTTATCAAATTCGTAGGAAAATTTTTAGTGGTTTTAGCTCAAAGTTTTTCTGTCTTGAAGAAGAATTGAAATTAGTAATGATTACCCAATTTTTAGTTTAACATTTACAGTTAGCTGTCTTGAATGGTTGAAAGAGTTTTTTTAAGGTATGTATTGCACAATATCGTCGAACGAAGAAATACTACACATTTAAGTGTATAAATAAAAGACGCTGTGTTGAGCATATGATAACTGACAGCGTTCTACATGAATTAAACTTATTAGCAGACCTATCACATCCTTTCATTGCTAATTTATGGTTTGCTTTTCAGGTAATTCTTTACTTCTTCTATCTTTTAGGCTTTCTTTTACCGTACAAAGATTACCGATCATCCTTTGATAAGATAAGTATGATTTAGCTGTTAATTCTGTAAAACATAAGGCTATGATTTGATGTTAATTATGTCAGTGTAAATAAGATTCAAGCATTTCAAATTTATTTTAAAAAATGATACATCTAGGATGAACGATATATGTATATGGTAAGCGATTTGTTATTAGGTGGAAATCTAAGATACCATTTAAATCAACAAGGACGATTTGCTGAAGATCGGTAAATATTTATAATTACGTTGTTTTTCGTTACTTTGCATAATTGTAAAAATTTTTTTTTGTTTTTCAAGTTATTGATGGAATAATTATATATATGAATAATCTGTAATAAGCAAAATTAAATAAATAATTACAATGATTTTAATAATCAATACGACGCTATCTCTTCTTAATTAGAAGTGACAGCTAGAAGAGAATATCAATGAATTATAGAATAATTATTATGACAAGTTATTTTTGTCTCTATTTTTGAAGCAACTGATGTGATATTACAGTTCAAAGTTGTACGTTTATGAGATAGCATTGGCGCTGGATTATTTACACAAGGAAATGATAATACATAGAGATGTAAAACCAGAAAATATTTTATTGGATGATGAAGGTCACGCACATCTTACTGATTTCAATTTCGCCATACGTCTTACTTCCAATACTTATGCTACCTCATTCTCTGGTTAGTTAAAATGTTATCTAACTTCACAATGTTTCATTGAATTTGTAATTTATCACTTATTACACTCCCAATTGTTCATATTGATGTGGCGTGACGTGACATGACGTGATTTAGAGTTCACTATCAAACAATGATATCATTTTATTTATGCAATTTGATGAATTCCAATAATTTTTTTGATGATATGAAACCAATCATTGCTCTACACATTACAGGTACACGGACATATATGGCACCAGAGATTCTACTTTGTTCTCTAGGTTATTTAGCTGGCTATGATCATCGTGTTGATTGGTACTCTCTCGGTATTTGTTTTTATGAAATGCTCATGGGGCGAAGGCCCTTCGAATATGCTGTTCATTCATCTTCAAGACAGGTTAATGGACATTCTAATTGATGCAGTATCAGAACTGTTAAGTCATACAATAAGTTCAAATTTCAGAGTAGTTAAGAAAAATTTTTAATTCTTCAGCTAAAATAGGCATGTGAAACGGAAAAATGTTCGGAGTTCAAGCAATATTCGTTGTTATTAAGTACTTCAACAGCTCTAAATTGTGGCATGAATTTCGTTAAAAGTTTATAAAGCGATTACAGGTAAACAACATTAATTTCACTAACTTTACTACCGATACTTCAAATTTCAAATTTCACACATAATCTGAAGTCTTCATGAAGGACGGCACTTCAACATTTCTGCTGCTTCTGGCGCTTATCCCACTGGCAATAATTTCAGGTGCTTTGCTTGATGAGCAAAAGTTTAATAGCGCTACCGTCTCAGTGGCCTTCAGATCTAATTTCTTTCATTAGTTGTATGCTCAGGTATGAAGTTGGATCTCGAATTGCTTCATTTGCAGCTTTTTCCCAGCATCGTTATATGGAGAGGATAAACATGAATGATGTTTTTGCCAGGTCTTTCAGCCACTTTCTTCCTCTTCTCTTCTACTTTGATTTCATCCAGAAATTTGAAAATTTCTACTGTTTTTTTCCTTTTAAAGCAATATTTTTTTTCAAAAATGTGATAAGAAAAGAATTCCGAAAATCTTTTATCACCGTTGAAAGATGGCCGATTTAGGAAGACGGCTCCAGTTTTTATACCCCGTTCTGGTACATTGAACTGCGATCCGACTTATGAGTTAGGAATGAGCATTCTCGATACCTCCTTCATGAATCGTCAACGCTGTTGTACGGTCAACTCTAAGGAGGAAATCGAGCAAAAAGTAAACGAATTTGCCCAAGCATTCATTTCATACAATCGAGAATATCAGTACCGAAAAAATGCAAAGGTTACAAATAGAATTATTCAAAGTGCAGCAGAGTTTCGCAAGTGAAGTATAATTTGAATATTCCATCAAACATTTTATACCGCGATTTCGAATCTATCACTTCTGATTCTAAATTTGCAGTAATTTGCGAGGTGATTTCTCTTATCGTCGTATCCACTATTATTATTCTTATCCTAATATAATATAAGCTATACTTTACTTACAAAAGCCATACTTATAAATGTTGCAACAAAAAAAATACTGCTTTAAAAAAGTTTAGTACTATCCATCTGAAATAATATTATTTATGATCGTTATCTCATCAGAGGTCGAGTATTTTTAAATGTATGCTTTTAGGAAGAAAGAAATCAACTGAAAGCATCTTCATTATAAATGATGCGAAATTCATCAGGTGCATTATTACCTCAAAAGAATATGTAATATTCTCCACAAATTTGGTTTTAATATGCCTTCTCGGATTCTTATATCAAAGAACAAACGAAAAGTTATGAAATGCTCCGTTTTATTCCATTTTTCTAAAAAAGGCAATGAATTGTTAGTGGCCAAAGACATTGCCTTTTTCATAAATATTCCTGAATATCTAACATACAGACCTTGATAAATTTAACTTTATGCAAATGTAAGGCTAAGTAACCTTTCCTGTAAAACATCTTTTAAAATAGAGCAGTGTTTTGTCATTCAGTTAAGAAGTTTTCAAATCCTGTTTTCTCTTTTCTCTCTTTCATAAAATAAGCATTGTAAGGATGGAAAACAGGAAGCTAGCAATCTTGAAATATTATTGTTTGACTATATGTTCTCAGCCCTGTCAATTCAACTGTTTAGGCAACAACTTAAATCTACTTAGTAAGTTACTATACATATAAATTATTCATTACGAATAAAAATTTGCAAAAATTCATTACAAATTTTCTAAATATCATATTTTGAAATCAAAAACAACGAGCAATGAGTGGTATTAATTTGTAAATAAAGCCTAACAAATTTGAATTTTTCTCAAACTAAATGCGTAAAATTCCTAAGTCATAAATTGGTTTTGCCAACAAACATTTTTGCAACGTTATAATTAGTAATTAATTTCCGCCACTTTGCCTCATCTATAGCTTTCAAGATTTTAACCTTTCCTCCTGTGACATATAGCTAATTGCTTGAAGAAAATATAAGACTAAACAAGGTCCATGATAGCATTATATTTTAAATGAAGATAATTTCATTTATTAAATAGTGTTTAAAATAACAATTCTCTTACTTTAAACGTTAGAAACTCAGAAATTAGCCGAAATAGAAGAGAACATTGAAGAGAAAATCTCGCGTCATAAGAAAAATCTTGAGAAACAGAAATGACAGAATTTTAAATTTATCATCTATTTCCCCAAATAAGAATTACTAGCACTATTAGATCATTTAATCTAGTTAGACTCATATTAAAAATTTGTCGATTGCTATTTGGGAACAAGTTGATTGCCGTTATGCACGGATAACTAATGTTAATCATCAATGAGAGCAAAAATTAAGAGCTAAATTAATTTTAAAATTCCTGATAGAAATATGAATATGAACCAAATAATTCTCGTAATTAGTATAATTATCAAAAACGAATAGCTATGAAAAACAATGAGCGCCCTGCTTACAATGTTACAGAAAAATTCATTCCTGTGTAATGTATACTTTTTCCTCCTACAAATACCGCAAATCCTGTTAATTTCAAGTACAAGGAGAAATAAAATTGAAGTTCAATTCCAGTTATTAGATTCAATTGAATTCAATACAATCTGATACACTGTAATATGATTAATAAGAAAGAAAACCATCTCGACCGAATCAAAGAACAATCAGAGAAACAAATTAAAATATCAAGAAATGAAAACCATTTTGTTACGGAAAAATAAACAAACATACAATATTGAAAAATGAACAGAATTTAGCAACCCTATATAAACGTACCACGGTGAAGTTGTATTTAAGTAATTTAGATCCTTCAAAATTCTTCAATTCGAGAACTTAATATGATTATGAAAATAGTCATAAAAATAAAGATAAAATAGTTTATTTACTAAATAAAATTTAAAGTACAGCAATAAGAATTAAAACGTTATCTTTGTAAGAAAAACTCTGAAAGAATATGTGAGTAAATAAAATATCTACAGTAGTAATAGGATACCAGAACGACTGATTAGCTCTTAAGCCAAGACACTGATAACAATAAATAATCTCTGAACATATTAAAACATCCAAAATTAAACAGTCCGTTATTTCATTCACAACCTAACTTGATTCCACCAAGAAAAATGATATCATTATCTTCAAATCAAATGATGACAATTTTTCGGCATCGACTGTGAAGAATCAACCCTTCCGATTAATTTCAACCAGATTAATCCTAACTTGTCCGCCAATTTTACTACCCCTATCTGGAATACTCCACAGTAATTAATATATTAAAATCAAAACAAGAAATCAGAAATTTACTTGCTAAAAATTCACATCTGGAACTTCTGGAACTCCCAACAAATGAATTATCGCATTTACGAAAGTATGGTTGAAAAATTTCACCGCATTCCGTTGATGATAATTCATGTAAAATTTGAAATAGATATTACTTTAATTTTTGAATTTTTAACTCTTAATTAGAAGATATGTTCTTTAGGTGATTCGGTTTTTTAACCTTTTTATTTTTTATTCTTAAGTATGATCATCTGTTGATTTTGAGTTTTTATTTCCGTTATTAGTTTATTATTTTTAGCAATAACAAGTTATGCATTGAACACATACGTGGCTTAGAAAAAACTTTCGAATTTTCTATACGTAAGATATCTACGAAGATCGGAGTCGAAATGTTTTCGAAAACATCTTTCTACATACAGGCATATTTGAATCATTTTTCTCAAATTTTGTACTTTGATTAAGACAATAAATTTTTTTGACCACAGAATGTTTCAGTATGATGAAATGTTGACCACAGAATGTTTCAGTATGATGAAATTTTGACCACAGAATGTTTCAGTATGATGAAATTTTGACCACAGAATGTTTCAGTATGATGAAATGAACGAAGGCAGAATTGAAGCAAAAATAAGGTCAAATAATTTTTTTCCTTGACCCAGCATGTGCCCTCTTCCACAGTCCTTCCACAAAAATTCTACCTTGGAAAATTATCAAAGTTCCATTCTGTTTCGATTCCTCATAATGTGATTTCCATTTGCAATTTTTTGGCACATCAATCGCTAATCCAAAAAGCTCACAGAAGCGCAATTTCTCCATCTTCCATTGCTAAATAATTTCAAGGAAATGATAAAAGTTCGAAACAGAATGGAATTTCCGTTTCAAAGAAACGGATGAAGCGTTACAGAAATAAAAGGAAATGATTTTACCAAGCATTCTCTTTACTTCTCAGAACTGTCTATTTTATCCCTATTCCAGATTTTGTATCGAACAGTTTCAGTTATCACCAACGGAACACACAATACAATGTGCTAATATTAAAGGCAATAAAATCTTCATTTAAACTTTCGTGAATGCAAAGATAATTTCTCTTCCAAATATTTTCTTATCCTTCTAAATAGCAATAAATAAGTAAACATTTCCGCAAAATACATGGAAGATAGTCAGGAAAATTAGTTCCCAATCAGGCCTCAATATGTAGTTGGAAGGAAATTTCCAGAATGTTATCTGTTCCCATGCTCTCTCTTTTTGTCGAAATACCTGAAGTTATCTAACGGAGATACACGAACATTATGCACACTGGACAGCTTTCTGCATCCATTACAAATTCTCCCCTGAAAAGTCCTTCACTTCCCGCACAATTCCCATTGGGAAGGCTATCGGTATGGCTAATTTCACTCCTCCGTCCACGGATACACATGCATACACTCACACACACACACACACATATAGACATATACACACATGTACGCACATAAACATATATACATACATACGCACATATACACATATGCACATATACACGCACACACGTACACGCACATACACACACATATATACACATACATGCACACATACACGCACACACGTACAGGCACATAAACATATATACACATACATACACACATACATATACACATACACGCACATACACATACATGTATAATACATATCGATATCCATCACCAAGCATCACATCGTACACACACACACACACACACACACACACACACACACACACACACACACACACACACACACACATACACACACATGTATATATGAAGAGACGTAGATGCCCAGATACATACCCAGATAGATAGATGCACACATGCCCACATACAGAATTGCCTTCTCGTGCAGATGCGATAGAGGCAGAGCTTACCCACGGGCAGAAAGAGTTCCCTGTGGAGCAAGAGTGATTGCTTGCCCGTCATTGAGGCAGTGTACATCCTACCCATCCACTCACCCATCCCATTGTCCCTCAACTAATTTCATTCGCATCTCCCTGAATTGATATAGAATTTGTATTTATGTGATGTTCTCACATCTTCCCATAACTCATCCGATAGAAGGCCAAAGGGTCAGAACATCATCTCATCTCAACCTTCTATCATTTTGTTTCCCACACCAAAAATGATTTCGCTTCATCGATGGATCGTAGCATTTTACTAAATTTATGAATTAGCAATACTACAGAATTTCGGATTATGAATCGTTCATTGGATGATTGTGTTCTATCTGCAAAAACAAAAGTGATTTGGGTTAGTAATTGTGGAAAGGTGAAAATAAGGAGCTTAAGTTTCGATTACTGATCCCTTAGCGTAAGCCGTCATGCTATTCATATGACATCACGGCTATTAATGCATAAATTTTCCTGCTCTAACCTTTGACAACAATTATTGCAATTTTCCATGGAAATACTGCGATTTTTTTTCCTTATCAATGAAAAGCTCTTATACAGCAGAAGGAAGCAAAAGTGTCTGCTGTATTGTGGATGCGATTAATACCGGAGCGATATTCCGCGAGCTCGAGTGATTGCAAATGTGATCACATTCGTTTTCAGATTTGCGATGACTCCATTAAAATCATCAACTGTAAGAGATGAAGGAATAAGCATATCATCGCAACTGCTAGCACCATTGATAGATTGCGGAGAACCGGAAGAAAAACGAACTCGACGTAAGCCAAATTTCACAGTACAAGAGAGAATGCATCTTGCGCAATCGTATGTCGAGAGCTATGAGGAATATAACCGGGCAAGTCATTTGCGAGCTACTGAATTAGCGGGGATAATTATTCCTCGTACCTCGCACAATCCTGCGCTGAACATTGCAAATTAGTAATAGTAACGATGAAGTGGTAAAAAGTTGAAGTCAGTGAAATAGACTGACAGACTAGGTTCAGATTAAAAATTAAAATCAGTGAACATTTCCCATGGTTATCTTTAATATTATGATGTTAGTGATAGTAGTGATAATGATTATAGCCTAAAGAATATCTTCTTTAATATGAATTTGCGAATGGCGAAAGTGTTATATGACATATTTGCACTTTTCTTCAGGGCTTTACGCCTACAACGAAAGGGGAAGCCAAAATTGGACGTCAACGTTTGCTTGAACGGTGGGCCGCTGAACTGTCCAGTTTTGGTATCGTCGAGCGAACGCCAGTTGAAGTTGAACAGAAAATAAGGTTACATAATTACAGTTACAATAAATTCCTCGAATTTTCAAAAGATCGCAATAAATTCAAATTTTTATATAATTGGGCACGATGAAACAGCACGATAATAATAATATGTGGATGCTAACTTAACTTTTGTGGAATCTTTTGCTCAAAAGTTTTTTCTTAATCTCAAAAATTCAGTTTAATCTCAAAAAAAACTGACCTACTCTCACTTTATATCTAATTACACCAACTTATGAACCAAATTTACTCATTGCAGCTTTTGAAGTATTTGCTAATCAATTTTTCGGTATTGTTAGTGTGTTTAATTAGGATAACCGTAACATATAGAATGAATATGAAGTGGAGGAACAAGATAAGAAATTAGGAATGTGAACATTTGTAGAGATTATATGAAAAAGATAGCAGCGAATCGAAAACGAGCAGTGAAAAGGGCTATGAGTCCTCCATGTCAGTTGATAAGTTCCGTGGTATCGGAAAATTCAACACTGGACGATTCAACAACGGACGATTCGCTGACCGCATATGCTGGCTTCTTGCTAGAACAGCATAGAGCAACTCAAAACGATTGCACTGAGTTGGTTGTTCATCTTTTCAATCAATCTATTTCTATCAAACGAAAAGGTCATACTCTAAATTTATGCCAAACTATGAATGGTCGTTGAACTGTAAAATAAACGGAAATAGAAATATTGCATCAAGTTGATGATCGTAATGCTAAAGCTAAAATAAGCTGAGTAAATTTGATCATATATATATATATATATATATATATATGTAAGACAAGATATTTTTTTTTGAGTTCTAGTATGTTTTAGAATCCTTTATGACTTTCTTATTATATGAATATAAATGAGATACGATAGAGATGCCGTATTAAATCATGATTTATACCATTTTAATGTAACTGCGAATTATCAACACTAAAGTTTTGCTAATTAGTTATTTGGTAATCGTTATAATAGATCAGTTTAGCCTTCTCTTTCATTGTTATTTATTAAAGTCCGTAGAATTCCTTTGTCGCAACTGTAGTTTAAATCAGTCTGAAAGAAATTGTTAATAATAAATGATATCATTTTTTATTGAGTCCATCCAATCCAGAATTTCCATTCATTATTAGAAGGAATTATTAATATTTATTGCCCACATCAAAATTTTATAACTTCATTAAGTTAAATGAATCGAAGCTATTCATTTGTCATCAGGTTATTTTATTTTCCATTACAGCTGATTGATATCTTTACCTTATTATTTTTTTTCAACAGAGCAAAGAATGTTACTGATAACCGGAAATCTAATCACAGATGATTAGATCATCTTTGCAGGAATTTTGAACCACTGGGACTTGTAAATAATAGCTATGATGTCGAGGAAGCTAAATTAATGACGAATAATGCTTCAGTTCTATGTTTTGAATCAACAAACAATATCAGAAATAGCTGTCGCAAAAGGTATTGAAAGTCTAATAGCAAATTTCTACACTTCTAAATAAAATTTAAAGAACGTGAAAATACATAACGCAAAAAGTATAGCACCTCATAATTTGTAAATTCATTTAGTAAATGATAATTTAGCTAACAACGATTTAATTAAACTTTTAATAATACAAATCTATACAAGCGGAAATTATCAGATATCATATGAATTCTAATTTCTGATGTATTCAGTGATTGTTAACTTTTTTTGGAGAGTAATGTAACAAAGCAAATTTGAGACTATGAAGGCAGTTGTTTGATAAATGGTTGTAATATTTGAGAAATACTAACTTTTTAGGAAAACAAGTAACATGAGTTCAGTTTCTAATGAAAAAGAGCAACCGGTGGAAATGTTAGAAAACAGTGATGAAGTTGTTCCCCCTCCATCAGAAATGCATAAGCAGCAGATGGATTTTGGCTCCATTGATTTGGCACTGAAAACTGTATACATGGAAATTGCCAGGAAAGAACTTGAGAAGAAGACACTTGAGGTGGAAGCAATGAAGGTTAACTTAAAAATCAAGAAACTTGAACTGGAAGGAAAAAGGCATGATGTGGAAAAAAAACGCCTTGAATTGCGGAAACTACAAGAAAGTATTATCAGAGATTCACTAAGTTCAGGCGAAAGTAGTGAAACTCCTCATGACACATCCATCACTGATCAGTTTGATCTTGAAATTGAATAATGATCTTTTTCTGTAATTAACCCTATTATTATGTCATCGTAAAATCGGCAAATGCATTATAGCTTCTTTTACATTGGAATTTCATGTTCGATATCATATAGTCTGGTCTTATTCAAATATGCTATTGTTTAATTCATCGTTTGCTAAGCGAATACAGGAATATTCAGGTATAACCACTTTAAAATGTTGTATTATACTGGCTAAAATTTTGTACTGTACTGACTTAATTCTGATTTATCTTCAAAGTGAATTGTAAGAAATTATTTAAATAAATAGCGGTGAAGTGAATTCATCTAAATAGTCAACTCCCTACGTAACCTGCAATAGCACGCATAGAAAATTATTCTCAAATATGACCTGGAATTACAAAAAAAGGAATTATTTAATTTGGTGTCGAAAGTGTTGTATAATGTAGAAAAAGAAAGTAGGCTTGATTTACGCCTTTTACGGAATTCATCTCGATGTTATATATCACTGCACTGATGCTTTAAACGAGTTTTAATCGGACTTCTTCATCTCTTTTAACTTTATTCATTTTTATGCAGCATTGCGTTTTATAGATCTCTTTATTCGAGTTAATTAAACTGTTCTTCGCTGGATTTTGTAAATTAAGAGACGATTTTAAAAAAATAAAAGATTCCCTGTACATATCAATCTTCTCACCCAATCACAATATTTAATATCTATTCACGTAAAAATATGTGAAGGCAAAGAGAAAAGAATGAAAAGACACCGACAATCGACAATCCATCCTTACTCAATGATAAGAGGAAAGATCATGCTCATCACTCTCTTCCTCCCCTTGCAGGCAGACTGTCAGCAATGAAAATCTATATCCATTGTTGAAATTCCACGGACCTTATTAAAGAAGGTATCATGATTTATATGCAAATATGAGGGCGGTGTGATTGGGAGGGGGATGACGAGTAGGCCGTTTTGATCAACTGAGTGATTTTTTAACTCCTTGCTTATCATAGCTTTTATGGAAGAATATGAGGCAATAATTGACCGATTCATTTATCCCCTCCACTTCTTACTGATCTAACACTTTTATACTTCCGATATAGGGGATGATGTATTGAGGATAAGAAAGTTTGTCACTGCAGGTGATTGCATTCTTCTGTAGCAGAAACAATGTGATTCATCGAAGGATTAGGTGCGATGTGCATTATTCTATTTTAATAACTTATTTGTTTTATATTGTTATATGTTCTTCTGTTTTATACTTTCCCTTTTCTAAATTAGGTTTTTTTAGGTAAATTAAAGCACTCGATGAAATATGTTTATTTTCCAAAATGTTGAGGAGTGCTTTTTGCGAAATAACTTTAACCTATCCTGATGAAAATCAAAAAGGACAGTCTCATATTTCGTTTTATGTAAGTTATTTTGCGTTTTTTTTTCAGCTGAAAAGGACTTGCAGTTTTCAAACATAGATATGAATTTAGATATCGTATGTATAATACCAATTGCTTTGGTGCATGGTATACCAAGCGACAGTTAAACAGAGTTCATAAAAAGAGCCCAAATGGACATTCCTCAGCTGCCACATTTACCTATGGAGGTATTTTTTAAAACTTTGTTCTTAGTAAGATATTTTTGTATTAGACCAAATCATTAAAACTCTTTGATGTATTAAGATGGTCTATTCTCCAGTAATATTGCCATAGATATAGTTATGCATTGTCAATAAAACATTTTCGGCCGTTTTAAGTTATGCGGTTAATGGTGATAACGGTAGTATCTGGAATGTTAGATACTGAGATACTGTACATGTGATGATAATCTCAGCAAATTGTCCTTTCAGACATTACCGTAACAGCAGTTCCACAGAATAGTGATAACTATAGTTACATGGTTATTTGTGGATCAACTAATGACTGTGTTGTTATCGATGTTGGTGATGCACAACCCATACTCCAGTGTTTGAGTGATGAAAATAAGATACCTCAAGCAGTGCTTGTCACCCATAAACATTGGTATCCGTTCATTATATTCTTACATAGTTAAATTTAAGGAAAATATTTGGAGTCTCTAAAGTATATTTCATTTATTTTCGTCTTACAGGGACCATTGCTATGGCAATAGAGAACTGAAAAAACGGTACAAGGAGCTAAATATTTATGGTGGTGAGATTGATCGACCTGCTGATGTGAATATGTAAGCTTAAAAAAACCAATCATTATATATTTTTCTCGATTTTAGCAAAGTACCAAACATGTTATTATAGTAAGTTAACACTTTCAATATGCAATAACTAAAATCAAAATATTTCTCAGACTAGCAAATTTTGTTTAATTTTTATTGAGCCGCGTTTGTTTATTCTCATCTCTAGACACTATGTTTGTGACTTCTTTATAGCGTGGTTACAAACACGAGTGGTATAAACTTTCTATTACCTTTCTATACATAAATTCCGTTAATAGAGATTACTTCGAATTGTCGTTTTTCAGATATGTTCGAAATGAAGCTTTGATCGAGATTGGGAAGTTGCATTTTAAAGCATTGCATGTTCCTGGACACACTGCTGGCCACATGATTTATGTTTTGCAGTTGAATGACGAACTCAAATGTTTGTTCACGGGGGACTTTCTGTTTATTGCTGGAATAGGTATATCTGTAAATCTGACGAATTTTATATACTGTTTATGTTTTGAAACTTGCAAGTTTTGTTCCACTTATTCAAATTATGAAATAGAAGTGAAAAAAATTGGTCGAATTTTTTAGGTAAAATCTTTGAAGGAAGCACTTCACAAATGATCAGTTCTTTATTGATGCTGAGTGATTTTCCACAAGATACCATCATCTTTCCTGGCCATGAATATGCGAAGCTCAATTTGTCTTTTGCTTTGTCACTAGAAAAAGATAATGAAGTGCTGAAAGCAATGATCAAAGTAGTACATGAAAAACGAACAACTCGCTCGCCCATTGTAAGTTTATGCAGCTTTCTGAACATTCTGTTGAATTTGGTTTCACTTGAAAAGAGGAAAAAGGGGGATTTCTGTATTATGCATATTGTTTCCTGAAAATGGGTTTTATAAGAATATTCAACAAAATATCTGGACTGTTTCATGCACTAAGCAAAAAATCCTATTATCAAAAAAAAAAATAAAGCTAAATGTATATGAATATTCTTGAGCAATATCTTTATCGAACGGTTCTTGAGATTTTTTCTGCCAAATTAGAAAAGTTTTATATTATATCAATTTTTCTTTGAATCTTATTTGAATCTGTTGCCATATTTCTGATTTCTTCGAATACTCCAAATGTGCTTTGAATTAATATGAATTGAACCTCATCACCTGACTTTTGTTCTTAGCTTATCGTTTTTGAGTTCATCGGAATTTGTGCAGCTGCTTCATAAATATTATCGCTGCGGTAATATGCCACATCATGATTCATGATTTGATTTTTACTAAGACGGATAATAAATTTGACTGATATTTCTTGCTATTACATGTTGAAGTGTACAATATAATATTAGCTTATATAAATTTAACTGTAGACTGATTAATATCTTCATTGACATCATTGTAAGTAACTAACCATTTGATATTTTTTCTTGCTTTATAACCTACGGTGTTCAATTTTTGCTTATTAAGTTCCTCGACTTTAATTATGATTCCTGTATGCAGTGCCGTAGGTCGTTATGACTACAAATGAGAAAATTTTCTTTGAACTTAAAACGAACACTGCAGTATGCTAAGTGCTTAGCGTCTTAAATTAATATCATTCTTCATCATGATAGCTTCGTAGACGAGCGAGTTCAGCATTTATTGATATCACTTTCTAGCTAGAAAAGCACTTTATATTTAAATACACTTCTTAGTTTATGAAGTAAAAGCTTTCAAGAAAGAAGTCAAAATATGTATCTTAATTGTTGTCTTTTTATATCAAGTACATTGTTTTTATATGATTTATTATTCATCTTCTGAATGGATTACGTTTATCTTTATTTTCTTCTACTCCTTATATACTCTTTAATAGTTCCCACCCTTAGAATGCTCCTGAATAGCCCGGTTATTTCTCTTTCCAGCTGTATTAGCATCGATTTTAGGGAGGACAAAGCCTTCTCAGGAAAGAACACTTAAACACATTAGTAATCTCATTTACTATTCAGTTAGGTATAAATTTCAATATTTCTTTTTTCCAATGCTAACATCAACAAGTTATGTATATTATTCATTTCAGGTAACTTATTAGTGTTTACAGTTGTAGCATCAATTAAGACAGTATAAAAAAAATATTTCTCATAGAAGGATAATTTTGAAACAAACGTTATAATCATGTTGAAGCAAAAGGCTATATGTTGCCGTCCGTAAGAATATGAATAATATTTTCTTATATCATAAAGAATGATTCACGTTGTGGTTATGTTTTGCAGTTTTTGACATTCTGATAACCAATCCTGATTTTATTTTTCTTGTAAATAATAATATCTAATAAATTATAGAGATTGTTAACTTCCTATTAATAGCATGATATTTTATGGCTAGAATGAGTATGTTTTATGAGTTTAATCTCTTTCTTTCGATTACATTACTTACGTGTACTATCTGAAATATATGAATGCCGACATAATAAGTTGTAATGACGTGAAACGTAATTTAATCCTGGTTTAAGAAATTCATTTTACATTCATTAAAGGAAAGAGTGTTCTCTTAAGTGTTCTCTTGTTTTCTTAAGAAACACAGCAAAATAACAATAAGAATTTGTGTGCTATGTAAGTTGAATATGACAGATACTGTTTGTTATATTTCAGTTAATTTTCTTTCAAGCAATTATTTTAAAATTGCTTACCTATTGAAGCAAAAAGTAATCTCGTTTGTCTTTATTCAATTCAGAGGTTTTATATTTGCTTCGAAAATATTTTGAAAGAAAAAGGATCAAATCAGACCGATTAAATAAGCTAAGTTGAGAGAGTAAATGTATGAATGCAAATAAAGTATTGTTGTTTTTGACTTTATTTTAAACTTTTATTACTTAGTAGAGTACTTGAGTCGCCAATTGTTATAATAAATTTTCTTTCCAAAGAAAAAAAAATTTTCATGATATCGGACAGGAAATTTTTGTTTTAAGGTTGGAGTCACCCTTGGTGATCAATACAAGATCAATCCTTATCTGCGCACCTGTTCTTTGAAATTTCGGAAGGCTTTAATTGCTGCTGGTTACGATGTACCAATGGAGGCAAAAATACTTACTGATCGAGACGTTGATGAAGTAAAAGATAACTCGGTGGAAGCTCAGATTGCCATTTTTAATGCCTTAGAAAAAGCTAAAAATGATTTTACAGAAGAATTCGTGAAGCAAATAGAGCGAAAGCATCGTAGGAGCATTAGAAATAATGCCTAAATTTCGTTTTCAAGTTGAGTTTCTTCCCTCCTCTTCCTTTACATGTCTGTATTTTGTCTTGATACTTCGAGAAAATGAATGCATGTGATGTACTTTAGTGGCATCAGCTGCATTCTCCATTTCAAGGGCTTTAATTTCCAGTCTTTTGAAGGACTGTTTATACTTATCGTTACTTACACTTTAAACAATTTATGCACTTATTTTAAGGAAAAACTTTTATTAGTAACAATTTTTGTTAATTGTTTGTAAGCCTCATTAAATCTACCATAATTCTTTTAAAATAGCATCTTTCCTGTCGTCTTTCCATTCTATCCCGTGTATATTTTCTTCGTTCTTTCAGCATCTTTCCTAATTGCGATTATGAAATTACATGTTTTATAAAAATAATTTTCGGGGAAACTTTAATTTTTCCAGTCCTGAAATTCTGAACTGTGAACAACCCAGTGTTACATATTAAGGAGTTTGCACTCCATTTGTTCACACATAGTCATAATTATTCATTTGTATCATTTCTTTCCTTATCATCATATTATGTAAAAAATGTGCTTATTGATAAACCTTGATTTTGGTGCTATTTCTTTCTGATGTTCTATTCTGTTTATTTGTTGAATTATATTATTGAAATTGTTCGTTATTTGGTTATGATTTCGGTACCTCACTTGAATTTCAATTGTTTAATCATTCCTTTCCATCCATAATTGATCAAACTTCTTTTCTGAAGTGTTTAATTCATGATTAATTATTTAAGCCTAGCATGCTTAGAAAGAAATTATTTCAAAATTTGTCATAATTTATTGAAAATATCATTTATATCAGTTGGTTTTTGATTGGTAATTTTTAAAGTATGTTAAAGACGCGTTCGATGTAATCGTTGAAGATTCTCGGTAAATTTCATTTCCTTCGGTAGACATTAAATTTGCTTCCGCTTCATTTTCTTTCATTTAGACTTCTATATTATTATTCTATGACTTTGAAATTTTTAATATCATTTTAGTGTTTGCAGCAATTCATTTACAAACAACTATCAAATTTATTAACAATTATCTTGATACTGATTTTTGGTTTTAGAACTCTTCTCATGTCCATTCATCAATCATATTTATCCAAATGTTTGTCATGTGAAAGATTGTCTTATTTACTATCTTTTATTTTTTATTTTACACAATGCCATTTTCATATGTGTATTTCAAATTTATGTGAAGGCCATTATCATGCTGTTATTTATTTGAATCTGAATATTTCAGTCCATTGATTTGTCAACCGTGCATTAGCACCTCTAATTTATGAATGAACGAGCATTGAAAATATTTTTTTATGGACAGATTCTGTGAAATTATGTCTGATTTAGGAGATTACTATAATGAAAGTTACCCAATCAAGTTAACTATGATCCTTGGGAAGTACTGAAAATTATGTGACTAATTTTTCAGATTATAATGACTCACTTCAAATGAAATGCCGCATTTTATATTCGGCAAATATAAAGACAGACTATGTGATATAAATATTTGAACCTCAGTATTGCTATGTTTCTTTATTCTACAAAATCAGACGATTATTTAGTTTATTTTTTTAACTACAGAAGATAAACGTTTATGTTTAAATTAACTTAATATGAAAACGATAAAAACAATTTAGAAATTAATCGGTCAATGATCAGCTTATCTTAATATTGAAATATTGGAATTTTTCGAATAATATATTAAAAAAAAAGAATTTTTTGGTTTAAGCAAATTAAAAGATAACTGGAGAGATGATGGAAAAAAACGGATCGGCAAATACTGGCTCTACCGTGAACTGAAAAATGTACAGGTAATATCGCAAAGAAAATCATTCTTGAAGTACGTATTCGGAATTTCTTGATCCGAAATTAGTTTAGCAAATGAATAATTTGAGTAAGCGCAGTATTTTATTATCCCTATGTAAAGCTAACGAAAGGCAGAAATTGATATCAGAAAGGGAAATAGAAAAGATTCTGCGCATTTGTCATATTAGCTTTAGAAAGAGGCTTATACATAAAAGAATTCCGTTCGATTCTTGATTTCAACAAGTTGTTGTTAACTCGAAAGAATTATTTCCTGATAGAGTTGTTGATATACACATATGGGGTTGGGAAGCGAGTGACAAATTGAATGGGTTGTGGGTTGTGGAGTGAACGGTTGGCTCATTCTGGTGAAAGGCGTGGCTGAGGTCTATTCACAATGGCAGCCTGTTGTCGTACATTTTACCCGTTAGGATCTTTAAAGGAAACAAGCGATTTCAGCCCAGTCGCTCTGTTTGCTCTTTCTTTTGGCTCACAGCGGGGAGATAATAGAAGGGTGGAGAGAATTCATCCCTGGCCAACATTCCTGGATTAACTCAAACTTATGAGCAACAATGGTGCAAGTTTCTATTTGAGGATTATTCAATTTCGTTTCCATATTATTGTGTATGGGATCCAGTTGCTTCCTTTCAAAAATTCAATTTTGACATCCTTTGAAAAATTCATTTCGATAAAAAATTAAAGCAGTTAACGCCTATCCAGTGATAGTAAGCAATTAATACTGCCACCTTTAGTAGTCTAACTACTAATTAGCTACACTTTAAATCATTTCCAAACTTACAGCAATTAAAAGGTGTGGGTATACATCGATAATGGCTATTATCATAACATTTCTTTTGATCAAGCTCATATCAATCGGGAAATATTGATGATTGGCAAAGATGAAAGTTACTGGGATAGCAGCTGTATAAGCTAATGAGTAATGTGCAGCATTGAAATTCATAATCAAGCGAGATCTTTTTTTTATTCACTGCTTATAACCGCTTATCAGTCTATAATCATTCTGTGGATATCATCATCACCATCATCATCATCATCATCATCATCGTCATCGTCATTACTAGTGTCATCGTCTGATCCCGAGACATCCCGTTTGTCAGTTTGCTTCAGCTGTGCTTCTACTGCATATCTCAGTCTATGGAATCAGCTTATGCATCACTATTTTCCACCCAAAAATTTCACCGATCGTTGCTGGGAGCCAGATTCCGAAATTGGTACCGTTCCATGTAGTGGTTCCTGTTTTATCTTGGTCGAAGAGATTTATGAACATTGTAAGTTTTTTAAGCATTAAAATTCAATACAGTTTTCTTGTTTAAAATTACTTATCTTAACGGACTACTCTAACTTACCACAGCTCCCGTAAATTATTACCGGTAGAATTGTAAGCGCATTTGAAGATTAATTTTCACTCATTCTCCATCATCTGTTCAAAATACGCTGTACTCTCAACGAAAAAATTGCTAACAAAATTTAGCTTTCTTGATATATTTATTGATGTTATTTCTATTTTGAGACATAATTACATTAGTAATAGCTGTAGCATTCATGTAAGTGATTATATTCACACTTATAAGTAATATTCAACAATGGATGGCTTTATGGCTGACGGATTTCATCTTGTGATGCTTTCGTGCCAGTTGTTGAATTGCTCATTTGGTAGAGTGTTCGGTTTTTTCGTTTGATCATAAAGTGACTCGAAGCTGCTCACTTTGTCCTTTCTTTGCCGCCGCTCTCATCTTTCCATTAATGGACCGTTGTTTTCAAATTCGTGGCGGTATATTATGAGTGCTTTTTGATGGAGTCTTTCTTTTATTGAGAAGATTAGTAGTAGTTGAAGAGCATGCATACGAAAGTAAGAGAGGAAGAGAGAGAGAGAGAGGTATCTTTCATTTATTTCGGTTGATGAAATATCAAGGAAGAGCCTGTGAAAAAAAGTAAACATTAAATGATTTCGTGGAAGAGATAGCATCATTCCTCTCATTGTTGTCGCCATTCAGCTGAGATGCTGATATCCTTCTGTAGTAATGTGTTTGTTAATCGAATGATCTCATTTCACTTAACTGATAACACTTTTTTAATTTCACAGAATTAACTATTCCATCATCGAAAACAGTAGCATCCCTTTTTATGACTGGAATTAAGAAAATGACGGAAAAATGTTGTCTCCTAATCGTTAAATTATTAGTTTTCAGGCAACAGATTAAGTTAACATTTGATAAAGAGATTGAATTTCAAACATGGAATAAGCAAATGTTGTAAGTAAATAACAGATTAAATATTTCTTCTTTCAGATCATTTCTTATCCGATTAGTGGAGAAAAGGATAAATATTTAAATAACTAAGTTAAATTATAAAGTTTAAAATTTCATTTTTAATGATTCACTTGCACAGAATTATTTCGACATTTTACCTTTTAAATAAAAGAATGGAAGAAAAAAAACATAAGCGGAAAAAATTATTGCCTTCAACACATCCTGCTAGTCCATTTTTCCCCTCCTATTCCTATTCTTCTATCTTTCTTCATTTCCTCCATAAATTCGTATCGTTCAGTACTTTGCGAGAGAGTTCAAAGAGATCAGATCTTGTTCACTGAGAGAAGAAAAGATTTTTTTCTCGTTTCTTCATAAGTTTTTCTTTTCTTTTTTTTATTTTGCTCGTTGTAATATAAGTTAGCCAGAAAAATCAATAGATTCTGCAAATTTGGAAATTTGCATAGTAATTATCAGCAAAGTGCAGAAAAGCATTTCTTTCAAGAAGATTATGCAAATGTGAAAGAGAGATTCTTAATCAAATGAAAATTACACATAGTTACTTATATCTAGCTAACTCGCTATAGTCTATTTAGCGTTTGTTATTATTTCAGGGAAAGATTAAGCTTATTTATCCTACTGTTAAATGGTCACTGGCAATTAAAAAATTTAGAGCTATTTTTCAATATATTTTAGCATTTTTTCACCTATATTACCTTTGACAAATTTGGATACAAATACTGGAATCAGCTGATCAATTTGATTTATGATTCTGCACCGTTGCTTGGTTCCCTTTGGTTTATTGAAAAGCGCTTTAGCAATATATCATAAATTATAGCCTACTGGTCTTAAAAATATTTCTCAAATTTTCAACAATTAAATCATACATCAGAAATCAAAAATATTTTGCATTGAGAGGTCAATTGGATAATTAAATCTGAATAAGATTAAAATATTTGCATATAATTTATTCACACTTTGCAACCTCTTATTTTGCTGTCTGGTCACATTAAATTATTAAATAAAATTAAGATCGAAAATGAGAATGCAATGATTTGTCGATTTCTATCGGATATTTGTCTTCTAGAAAAAATGCTTACATTTAATTTCTTTACATAAAGAGGATGAAAGAATAAAACGAAGTAGGTGGGAACATTATTTTTGACTATCAAAATTCAAAATTATGAACTCTATCAAAGTATTCATTGAATATATTCATCTTTTCATGAAATCTCCAACTGTTGTGTAATAGTTCAATTAGTTTTCCCATGAAAGTTAGAAAATGTGAGATATTTGTTGCATTACAGTAATAAAATTTTCATTATTCAAACTTTTATTTGCAAAAAAAGTATTTTGTTTGAAGAGTCGATAAGAATTAATTTTTGTGGAAGACAATTTTCAGCCGTTCTAAAATCTTCTTTTTAAATAACTAATCAACTTTCAGAGACATTCAGATATTTATTCCCTGCTATTAAACAAAGAATGTTTGTATATTATACATAATGTATAGTATATTAAATCTATACTGCAAGAGTATTCATTTTTTGTTTTTTGAAAATGTGCAATTTTCATTTGAACCATAAATTTCCTGATAGCAATGAAGTTTGAGAAAAAGGCTCAGTTAAAACGGTATTTTGATTTCATAGCAGTATTAATTAGTGTTACTGTTATTTAATCGTAACTTCAGAACATTTACTAAATTTTATTCGATTTCAAATGTTTAATTTTAATTAGGAGCAAGAGTATTCATTTTTATTTTTTGAAAATGTGCAATTTTCATTTGAACTTTTTTTTTCTTACTGAACAGTAACTTCAAATCTGAAGATCTTCAATATTTTCAATCTTATTTGTATAAAAATTTCGAATTACTGACCTGCTTCTATTTTTGTTATCGAATGATCAATAAGGAACCAAGATAAAAAATGAAGTATTTTGTAGCATGAAAAAAAAGTAGTATGAAATGAGAAGATTTGTTATTTTATACGCTACCGTTACGATGAAATCATTTATTGTTGAAAATAGAAATTAGTGAGAAAGAAATTATTGATATGTATTATAATTAGTCAACAAATTGTGATTGAAATTTCAATGCCAGTCATTTTAAGATTTTAATTATTGAAATCTTTTTCAACACTAATTTAATCATAAAGTATCAAGGTGAATACTTTCTCTAAATCAATGCTTTATCTGAGTTGATATTTCTTGAACTCAGAATTTGCTATATTTAAATTTAACAACTCTTTGCAACTTTTTATAGTTATAACTTGCAGTTTCAACGCATGCAGTAATGCGTGGTTGCGTGAATCGATTTTTGTTGTTTGGTCTGGATGAGGATGTGCGTGATGTATTAACTGATAAATCAGAATGCCGTACAACTGATCGACGTTTGTTTCATCTCGTGGCGCTCACCCCACAAACTGACCTCGTAAGCATTTTCGCACTTCATTGTGTAGCATCGATTGAGCTGTCAATAAATGATAATGCACGATAAAGCAATGAGAGTGAATGATTTTGATGGTACGTGAAAGATTTATTTTGAGTTGAATTAAATAAAAGATTAAATTCGAGATATTTTAAAAGTTGTTAATTTAACACTTGTCAGTTGTTATGTAAAAATCTCAATAATTAGGAGATTAAAAGTGGTACATGTAAGAAGGAGAATAATGAGGGTAAATTACAATTTTAATATGTCCTCAAATTTATTCCACTATGATCATTTTATATATTACAAAAAGTCGCAATGACACATTTACTTTCAAGTTTCATTTTCTCTCTTTCTCTCTCTCTCATTTTCAGGTGATAATGTGCTCATGTACCGGCTCACTATGCAATTATGTCAATATGGACCACATCCTGTCGATAGCTGTTTCCTCCACCTGCAACGCATCCCTTTCAATCCTTATGCTGATTTTTCATTATACTATGCACTCGTTGATGACAACTTAATTCACGTCACATATGTCATTCTTTGAAGATCAAAAAAACCATTATCCGTTAAAGCCATATGTTTTGTGTGCATTTTTAGCTGTCACTGATTTGTACAAATTGCAATCTTGCATATTATTTGACATTATCAACAGCAAGTTACCCCGATTAAGCAGGGTTTTGAAGCTCCAAAGAGAAGAATTACACTCGTGAGAATCATACTATAAATTCATAAATATCAAAATGCACTAATGCAATAGTTCGATGTAGAAAAGAAAGGAAATTTTGAAAAGGCATTTTAAATTGGCCTTTTCAATAGGATAAAACATTCTATAGTATCATATTTAATGCTGTTTTTTTTCAATAAAATCAACCACAACTAAACAATCGCAATTTTGCTTCTACAAAAATTTTTTTTAATCATTTGTTTAAAAGTCAACAATTAAATATAGCTTTATTCTAGTATTGCACAAAACAACTGTCCATAATCCGTAAGAATCAATTCTGAAATTTGCAAGATTTACAAGATTTCTGAAAATGGATAATGAACATTAAAATCGGTTTTGCCTTTCTAAGCGCTCGTGTTACGGCGGCATAACTGTGACAGATGTCGAATTTGGTTAAAGATGTCATTAGCTAAAGATCATGCAAATAAAGCTCAAACTTCATTGATAGTAATTTGATATGTTAATATTGGTTGATTGTTTCACGACAATTGCAAAATGGTTGTATATGGCACTACCAAATTATTGGATACGAAGTATACTGCACGAGACAATGATAAGAAGCAGCTATAGCAACTCGTTTGTTACCAGTAATCTTGTATACTTATATTTAAGTATATCAGTTTTGTTCACATGCTTGCACATCACACTATGTTTCTTCGGTTGTACAAAAAAAAAGGCAAGTTGATTATGAGAATAAACAGTGCTAAATTATTCGATAATTCATTTTGGCAAAAATAATTCTATTATTTCTTAAAAATAATTTCACACTTGCCACTTTATTCACTTTATGTTTTAAAAAGAAGCTGACTGTAAGAAAGAAATGATAATAAAGTGATAAACAATTCAAACAAATCAAATTTCCATTTTATGCCAAAAAGAAAGAACTTGATTGAACCATTCCGTCATCATGAAGTTTATACTGTGAAGTCTTTAAGTATGCATCACCATGATAAGTCATAAAGATAATTTGTTCATATGACGGTAAATCTAATCTGAAAGACTGATGATATTAAATATCCGGTGAGAAATACCGGATAACTTTCCAGCTTTATATGCTAACACATAGTAGTCTTTCAGCTAAGTGCTGCTCCAACACAACCAGCAACAGTAACAACAGTACCACAGGAAAATAAAAAGATGGAAGAGGATAAGAAGAAAGCTGAAGAAGAAATGAAAAAGATTGGGGGAAAAAAAGATGAAGAGCAAAAAAAGGAGGAAAAAAAGAACAACGAAAAAGAGGATAAGAAAAAAAGTGAGGAAGAGAAAGAAAATAGACAAACAGAAAAAAAGGAAAAAACAGAAAAAGTCGAAGGTAACAGGGAAGAGGTAGGGGTTAATATCAAACATTTTAATATAGAGAGATTTGAGGCATATAGCAAACTTAGATTTATCTGTAAAAGACAACCTAGAAAAGGGATAATTCGGTGAGTTTTGTAAGATTAAGATGAAGATAACAGAGAATGATTGATGATTTATAGGGTCGGCAAGTTGGAGAAAATCCGATCGTAACACCCGTCTCAGATGAGGATGAGGTAATATTTTCATTCTGCTCAATACATTTCAACTGCTTACTTTGGAAGAAAAATACTCATTTTTATAGATACTTCCGGAAGCAGAGAAAAAAGGAAGGGGATTAGCTGTGAATGCTACTCAGGAAGAGAATAAAGAGGTATGATTTGAAAATTTGAATCTCAGTTAATAAGTTGTTAATTAGTTGAAATCTTAACCGCTATCTTCAATCTCATTACTTTCCATTCTTTTAGAATACACAGATTGAGAGAACACAAGCAAACGACCTTTAACCTGTAATTCGATAATGCTGAGAATCACTCACTCACGGATCTCCTCATGTCGTTGCATCATTATATTTGACTCGTTTAGTACTTTATTCTTTTATCGCAGTAATGTTCTAACTGTAAACGATAAATAGCATTCTATTGTTTGAAGAGAGAAAATGTCTAAATCTTAATCCTCTTCTTAATTTTTCATTAAATTTAATGAAAAATCAAGCAGTAGTATCTTCGATTTTATTTAGCACAAAGGAATAACAAACATTTTTCATTGTTAATCTGTCCAAACCAACTTAGAAATCGTCATCCTGCTATTATTATTATTCTTTCCAAACAGCAAACGTTCTTAATCGTTGCGATAAAGTAAGCAAACGACCCATTACTTTTTTCTTTACATCTACTTCAATTATCATTCTGCACGATTCGGTCATTTGATCAAAGCACTGCAGCGGTTACTTTCATTTATGTCACGCTTATTCTGCCGAGAATTGTCATTAAACAATTTTTAATCCATTCACTAGCACTCTTCATGGAATTATTCCAAGCACCTCAACCAACACTTATCACTTATCACTGATCTTTCCCTTCTCTAAAGCATCTCGATCAATACCCTAATCCGAAATCCAAACCGGCAACTAAATAGACAGCGCTACTGAGACGTCAACTAAATAGACAGCGCTATTGAGACATCAACTGTTTCAAAACGTTCATTCGGAGCCGCAGAATATCCTTAAATTTGCGATAGTGTGTTGTACGTTTGCACGTTTTGATGAGAATTGTGAACTGGTGATAAGTAGTAGTCGGGGAGGCTTACTTATTAAGGTCGAAGGTCACATGGGTTTCAATTAATTGAGATGCATCAAACAGCTAAATGTTCAACTACCAGTCAGAATCGATGACTTTTTCGTAACAATGAGTTGAACATAATGTCTGGTGTGGTGTTTACTTCATTATAACTTTAAGTCTTATTCGTCTGTTGAATTCATATAAACGATGTAGAAGAGGGAGGAATTAGAATTTACAGTAGGTTTGGGCTGATATATTCCCTTCCTTTCCACTCAATAATGAACAAAAATTTATGATGACAGTCTTGAAATTTGTCGGCTAATTTAGTGCATGAAATGTTTTCAATAACTGAAAAAGAAGCTTAGGGGAGATGAGTTGCTCACGAATAATCACATCAGTACATTTGGTGGAATTTTATTCAGCTTGCGGCTTTGAGAGGTATATGAAAAAAGCAGAGACATTATTCAAACTTATACTAAGATTCTGATGAGACTATTTTGTCGATGTTGTTAATAAAATGATTGAATTGTTTGTGAAGTTCGTCGAAATCTCTCTTGCTCGGATCTTGGAAGTTAGTACTGTTTTGGTCATATCACTTTCAAACTGTCAGTTTATAATGATATCATCTGATTTGTTTGGGCGTTGTGATAAGCGTTTCGAAACATTGGGACCTTGTAATTATTGTAATAAGTGAAATAACGACAGAAGTATCATCATTATGGAATGAGCACAGTGTTTATTCCGATATGGAGGAAGTAGAATAATCTAGTATATCTCCTCTACACGGCAGTAAACACTCTACTCATCTTATAAAAGCAGAAATTGGAAAGGTTGTTTGATTGTACTATCGCATGAATTGAACTGATGTAACAACAATTGCAAGTAAAGTAATTTACAATTACAATTATTTGCCTTTAATGGTTTTCAGCAGTCTTAATAGCATGTTGGTTACTGTGATTAACGAATAAATTAAGAGTAGTTAATATTGGCAAATTTGGCTTGTAAGATAACTAAGTCGGTTGAAAAAAATCACAAATAATGAAATTTTATGATATTCGGTAGTTTCAGTTTTCATTTATCAGCTTTCCGTGTTATGTCGAATCGGATGAACGCAGCCGTACAGATTTCGGGATTAAGAACACCGACACGTTGTATGTTTTTTTTAAAGTGTCGGTGCATAAAAATGCTTATTTTGTTCGTCTAGTAAGCTTACTTAAAATTCATCAAAAGTTGCAAAACAATATAAAACTGAAAATATTATAAAATTGTGATTTGATAATTGAATTTCAGCTGAAGATGCATCGCCACAACAGCCGCGTCGTCTTGAAGTAGTTTCAAAACAGGCAACCAAGGTTACTGCAATCTCCACTCGCTTGGAGTGGAAGATTGACCAGGTGATAGTAATGTTTCGTTTTATATATCTTTTTATTCTAAGGTGTTGCATATTTTGCAGTACAAAAACAGGTTTATACGTTTAGTCAGCGTATAGTTGGATCTAATTTTTGTTATTTTTTCAGTTCGAAAAGCTGATGAAATTGTTTAAAAATGGGCATAATTTAATTAGTAAACAATTTGGATGTCCACAAGCACCTACAGTCACATGGGAATTGCATGTCTATCCTAACGGGAAACGAGAAGAAGATGTTGGAAATGTTTCTTTCTTTTTGCGACAAGTAGGCTTGCAGGTAATTGATGATAATTGATGATGTGATTCTCTCGAGAAGCTGGAAGGTCCATGGATAAAAGATATGCTACAACATTGTGGTTATTAGAAAATGTGTTGAATCTTACAGCAGCTTTGTCATTTTTCAGCGTGGTGAAGATCCCATAATGACGGAGTTTCAAATTTACGCTTTGGATGCGAATTCATTAAGGGTTAGCGTGTGCAGAGATACCAAAGATTTTACCAATCAACAAGGTCGTGGGAAGTTCCAGGTTTATTATTAGCAAAAGCTTTGATGATTCAAGTTTACGGTAAGAAAGCAGGAAGCTAGCTCCCAAGTAAATGGATTTTAAAAGTGAAGCAGTTACTGAACTTCGAGATTAACTGAATCTATAAGAGTTTCGCATTCAAATATTGTCGACACAAAAACTGACATTCATATATTCGAAGGTTTCACGAGATAAAATGATGGCAGCATTGAAAACAGATGGAGCGTTACTTCTGATTTGTGAGGTTGAATATTTTCCTCCTGGATCAAAAATTAGTGTTGAACAAGCAGTGGAAGCAGAGCCTCTGGATGATTTTGATGAAAAAAACGAGGTTTCAATACGGGATTCTCTTAAAGACATGCTGGACAGTGAGCTGTTTGCAGATTGCACTATAAAGGTACGTTTGCTTAACTTATTTTACATTTAAAGTAGTTGATTTTATCATTGTCATGTAGATGGTTAAATTTCCAAAGCATGTCTAGTTATTGTTTGCATTGTAATGATATAATTTATACATTATACAGGTTGGTAATAAGACCCTTAAAGCTCACCGATGTATATTGGGACAGCATAGTGAAGTATTCCGTTCAATGTTTGCACAGGAATCGATGTTGGAGGCTCAAAAAGGAATTATTGATATTCAAGATTCAAGGTTTGAGCCTGTAAGTAACAGTGACTCATTTCGATAAAGTCTACTTTATGTTGTGTTTCTTATTCAAAATATCGTTCCGAAAATCATGTCAAACTTTAAGGTGCGGGCTATGGTAGACTACATATATACAGGCTCGACAGATCTTGTGGAAGGCTATGCAGAAGATGTTTTGGCCATAGCTGATAAATACGCTATTCTGCCTCTTAAGGAGCAGTGTGAGCGATATCTCTCAACTACTATTAATTGTAAAAATGTTGCCTCTACCGCAGTGTTTGCTGATACTTATTCGGCTTCGATACTTAAACAAGTTAGAATTGTTATTTAAAATCATTATTAAACCGCAGTAGCTTTGTTTTATTTTTAATAACACTTTAAGGATTGTATGAGTCTCACTCAACACAAATTGCTATAAGTCGAGCAATTTTCGTTTGTCATCATATCAGTACCATATTTTATGTAGTCATAAAATTTGTCGTGAAGTATTCCATATAAAAATTATTTGTAGTTGTTTTGAAGTTTTCTTCTATTTCTATCGAGAAATTTTCAGTTTATTTCTGCTTCTTCTAAGGTTAAATTGCTATTTTTATGCAGGCGTGCACGAAATATATGTCACTGCATCACCGAGATGTCTTGCGCTCCGCAGAATGGAAGCAGATGAAGAGAGAAAGATCGGAGTTGGCAAACGATCTTTTGGAATCAGTGTTGGTCGGCGATGGTGTTACAAATCCTGGAGATTTTAGTTTCAGCGGCAGCGATGAAAGCAGTTCGACAGGTTCTGGTAACATTTTGGTAAATGATAACCGGCCACCACTTCGAAAGCGTGTTCGACGAGCTGCTATCAGATAAAGTTTCATCGGGATGGTATTAGACATTTTTTATTGTTTATTGGCTATTGACTGAAAGGAGACTCATATTTTGAATAATAATAGTTATGCAATATTCTGATTGCTGCATCGCCTCTGAAATGACAAAGTACTGCTATCAGCATTTGTGTTCAGTTAAACTTCTTTATTGTACCGATATTGTTTTGTTTTGAAAATAAATTCTGATCATATAAATCAGCATCGATAATGCACATTTATATATTGATTAAGACCAATTTTAGCAGATCTCTCAATATTATTGCTGTTAATTGCTTCCAGCACTTTCAGAAATTCAGTTAGTTTGAATTTTATATGCCTAAAATTGGAATAAATTAAGCTTGCATCATTATAACAAATAATTTCACTGTGATCATTTCATTTTTACTTTGTATTGGATAATTGTTTAATTATTCGTTAGATTTGAATTTACTATGTATCTCTTTTTTTACCTTTTTTAAAACTTATATGAAGAAGTATTTCGATATTCCCAGTTAAAATATTTTTTGTTTTTGCGATTTTTCTTGGGCTGTATAACTTTTTACATTAAGCCCACTACGGGATGTCTTTTCTCGTCTGCGGATTGTTATTTCAGCACACTTTTTTAAATTGAAATGGTCTAGTTGAATTTAGTTTTTTATTACGCCATCGTTTATTGTCGTGTTACGACTACATTTTTGACTAACGCTGCGAAAAATTTTGCAAATTATATTTCAGGATTGAACATTCTAGTTTCTTTAAATTAGACCATCGTCCTGGTTGGTCGCCATCCATTTTTTTGGCTCATATATTCTCGCCTGATTTTTTTTCTGTTTTGTATAAAGTATGTTTTTGACACTATTTCATTGTTATCTTAGAAGGTTATGAGTGCCATTACTGTTTGCGAAATATTTCGTTGATCAGAATTCTGTCGGACCTCTGCTATGATCCTTGACGCTATAAACATTGCAATATTAAGGTGGAATATGATTGTAGTTGACGGTTCCGGTAAATATTTGAAAATTATCAATTGATGATAAAACTTCAAGGACAAGATCATGTGAATTGTGTCAGCATTGGTGGAAATATCAACTTGATGAAGCTTAGACATAATGCTGTTAGTTATAATCGTTTGAGAAACTAGTTTTTAAGATTGGATGATGTGGTTAATAAGTAACTGTTTACTATCCTTTGAGGTCTGACCTCGTAAATGAATGCGTCAGATTGGAGAATAGTCTGTGTAACGTATAACGTGAACAGCAGGAAACCCGAAGGTGATCAAATTCATCAACTTTTACAACAAGATGATGTGGAAGATGCTGCTATTATTGCAGTTGGATTGCAGGTTCATGTTTCGTTTCTCTTGTAATGATCAAAAAGTTCTGTAATGAAATACGTACAGTCTGTCACTCTTTTCTTGTCTTTCTGTCATTTCTTTTCTTATTCTTTCAGTCTTTACCACAGAAAATGGCTGAGTTAATTCTTTCAAATTTCGGTTCTATTAAGGAACTTTCTCATTTGGAGTTATTTGGTACGATACCGGCCGAAACAACGTGGCTGTCAATTTTAACTTCGTGGATGAATGCTCATGGAAAATCACTTCTTTGTAAGACATCACTTGCTTGCAATTTGTTACTCATTTTTGCTCAATTGGAAGTGTTTCCTTTAGTGAATGAAATCAACTCACGGCAATCACGATCTAGTTTAGGAGGTCTTACTGGTCATAAAGGAAGTGTATCGCTAAGGATAAAATTCAGAGTAAGTTATCAAGTTATCTTTTGTTCTTTTGTTTTCAGTATGAAAATGAAAATTTCCCTCAGTTTTTGTTAAGAAAGGAGCGGTAGAAATTTTCAGCTGAAATGTAAAAAACAAACATACTGTTTTCAAAGATTTTTCATCATTTTAAGTTACAGAAATTAATCCATAAATTGAGATATATTTATGCAGACCAATTCCAGGATGAAAGTTCATTGGTTTTTATTACGTCGCATCTTCTACCGAATGCAAGTAATTATGAAAAAAGATGTTTGCAATATAAAAATGGAAAAGTTTGTGCCTTTGACGATATGGCAAGGAGCAGTGATGAGAATAATAATGTAATATGGCTAGGCGATTTTAATTGGAGAGTTGATCAACTCACATCTCAAGAAATGATCATGTACGTATCCGAGTTATCGAGTTTTTTAAGTTTTTTTTTTTTTCATTTATATATCTCTTCGAGGAAGTGACACTTCCTTCATTTTTTTTCGAATAATTGCTTGCCTGGTTCGATATTAAAGCTTCCTAGAACCACTCTTTTAGGAAGTTGGCTGAATTGAATTCTAACGATCATATGGACAAACTGGTCAATAAGTTTGATCAGTTAAAAAGAGCTCAGAGAAACGGGCAAGCTTTTATGGATTATCGTGAGGAGAAAATTCGTTTCGCTCCCACCTACCGCCTCATGGTGATGTTAACTCATAAAGTATCGTTCGCTTACATAAGCCAGAAGAGTGCATTATTTCTAAAAATGTAGCTAAAATGCAGCTCCTCTTTGATTTTGATTTCCAACTGCTTAACTATTTCATATCTATATAGGTTGGCTCCTCCTATTACGATCAAGAACGTGTACCATCATGGTGTGATCGTATTCTTTTCAAAGGAAAATCTCTACGTTGTGAGCGGTACGAATCAAATCGTATGGTCACTTTATCGGATCATTTTCCAGTTTATGCGAATTTTATTCTATCTGGATCAGTATTGCGACAGCATTCTGAATGGAAAGTTTCTTTCGAGAAAGTACCTCATTGGTACAATATCGTGCCATTCACATGTCGATTTACATATTTGGATGATTTCTGGAGGAATAATGGATCATATCGAGATTGGGTCGCGATTTATTCAGCGGATGTTCCTAATTCTTTGCAACCGCTGACCTGGTTGTATGTGGTTTCTTGTTACAATACGGTTATAGCAAAGAGATCAGTTACCATAGCTGAATTTCCATGTTTAAGTGCTGGACATTATCGTGTTGGCTATTTTAGCGTATACAAAAATTGTCTACAGGGTTTATCCGATATTTTCGAAGTGGAATTCATCAAGTAGTATTTCCAGCACTAGTCGATTATTAAAGTATTAGTTGCGGTTGAGAAAAGTGTTTATAGAAACTAATGTTTTATTGCAAATGAAAAAAAATGAAAAGAAATTAGCAAGTCTACCGCTTTTAAATTCACGACACATCCAGAAGTATCTTTCGTATCGTGATCGTAATATAATTTGCAAACATATGTATTTTTTTGCACTGTGTGTTTTTTAATTTCTATTGTGCTTTATTTCGTCTGTAATTTTTAGATCTCCATCCTTTGATCAGATATGTATATTTCTAATATCTACGTTTCAATTAAATATAATGTATTGACTGATAAATTGCTTCCGTTAGAGAAGTCGAAAATCCTATACACTCTGAGGTGGCCGGGGAGAGTTCGGCTTCTCGGTGCGCTACTTTTGTTGATATATGGAGTGGAATGAATATTGATTTCATTGAAAGGTAAAGAGTCTAATTTATGGAAGTTACAATCCGTATCGGACTACAAGTACCTGTAACCACAATCTTTTTCCTATAAAAAGTGCTAGATTCTTTTTTCTTCGCAAAAAAATAAACTTTCATTTTAAATTTTGATATACAAGTGCGATTTGATGCTGATAGACGAAGTTATGGACATATTTTGTCAGATGACTATCAAATTCACTTTTTTTCCATTTCTATTCTGTCCTTTCAAAAGTCTAGCAACGTTTGCTTCTCAGGAGAGACAGTGCTCTTAATTAATAGCTGAAAAAAAATAGGATGAGTAATATGCACGTGTTCCTTTTTATTTGTTTACAGTTAAGATGTAAATAAAAAGTTTCAATTACATTCGATCATGCCCAATTCACTTAAGAGGTTATGTGCATGCCTAAGTCATGATATGATGGCAATAATTATTGATAAACGTAGAAAAGAGCCTGTTATATGAATAAAACAAAAGTCAGTACATATGAGCGAAGAAAGATACTATTATAAACATTAAGATTACACAATTTAAATCGGAAAAATAGCTTTTTATCTACGAGAAAAATGAGGGCATTCATGACTGCTCACACAAGTTACAAGTCAAAAAATATGAAGATGAGGCAGAAAAATTGAAATTTAACGAAAATCAAAAAGTATAGTGAAAAAGTAACTGCACTGCAAAAATTTCAAAGAGAAAGACATTTTTCAGCGATCTGTCATATATAATTTCTCCTGACCGTATTTTTTCGTAGTCGTGTTTGACTGCAGATAAAAATTGAAGCTCTCAAAAATTCCATTTTGACTGATTGGCCAGACAAACGGCTTATTCTGCATAGTCCATAAGGAAGACAAAAAAATGCACAACTCCTGCTGAAATAAATGTAAAAAAACAATCTTCAAATCTGATCCTAAAGATATGCATTAAGCGGAGGGCAAACTCCAAAATTTGATTATCGTTTTTGGTATTCAGTCCTAATAATTTGCTTATCGTTCGAGATAAATGCGATAAACAACTGTGCCAGAACATTTTCATTAATAGTTGTCTCTTGCTCTTCTTTATTCTCTATTCCTTAAAAGAAGTGTGTAACAAATATTCATTAATTATAGCAAAATTTTTACAAGCTTTTACTCTTTCACTACAATAGTGATTCATTATTTTCAGCTGAATATCGTCGCGATTTACTCTCTAACTGGTTATTTGTTCTGTGTACGACTTATGCTTATACTCTTACGGTATATGTCGCATGTATTTGAACTGCTATTATCTGTGATGAAAATTTCAATCAGATCACTGAACTTTATTGAAAACTCCTTGAACTGTCTGAAAATACTGTGCTACTTGATATAATCTTTAAAAATGCATCGAACTAACCCGTATGTCTAGTTTTCTAATCATTCATATGTTGGAAATAGATATTCACAACCCGTTCAGCCTCCAAAGGACTTTCGTCCCACGAACGCAAAATATTATAAAGCACGGTGCTGTCCAAGTTTAACTCACCCACTAGCGATCTCCACATAAGCTCTTTCTCTACACTCAACTGAAAATGATGAAAATTGCTCAAACACTGAACAAATGATCTCTGGACAATAAAATTCTTCTTAAAGATTAAAAGCAGAGTAATTTCAATAAAGAGTCTTTGAAATTCCATCTAACAATGAATTTCCTAGAAGAATATACAACCCTCACAATGCTCTCCACTGTTAATAAAAGTTGAAGAAGCAAAGAAGGCTAAACAACCGATTAAGATATACAAAAAAGTTTCATCTTTTTCTCCGAAACTTCTTGGAATCCTTTTGATCAGTGAGTTATTATTTTTTTCTTCCTCTGTAATCCCTCCTACAGATCGTCAGTTCTATTCGCACACATCATTTCGACTTTTTTTGAAGTCAATAGTTGGAAGGTTGCCGTTACGTAAATTACAAAACAGTGGAATTTTATAAAAGGATATTGACTAGACGTTTTTCAATACAAATAATAAGTTTTATTCCAAGTCAGTGAGGTATCCACTTTAATCTTTAAGTGAACAATTAGTCATCAAAAAAAAGAAAGGAAGATTTCAAATAATCAAAAAAACAACTCGCAAATGTGAACCTTTCCAACCAATCTATTCGGTCTCTCGTCCATCATTGGATATGAAGCAGAAGTTAATGAATGGAGTTCTGCTGAGGCAACTTCTGATCTTTTCTGGAATTATACAAAGTTCCATTTTTTTGACGAATTTTAGAATAAAAAAACTTGCAACAAAACAGAGATCTTTTTCAGCGAAATGCAAAATTAAAATGATGATAGCATAAAATTGCTATGTTTATTCAAAGTTTTTTTTGCTCCGAAACATTTTTAATTAATATATTTCGTGGTTTTCAGGACCAAGTAATTTTTCTTTTGTCTTTCAGGTAAATAACGCAACTTATAGATTATTCTCTATAACACTTTAATTATTCTTTTCTTTAACGAATTCTTTTATTTTAGCTATCGATTCGTCATGATCTTATACCCTAAGCTCATGTTTCCTGGATTTGAAAGACTGAAAATGCTTTGAGGGACTAAATAATATGTAATGTATGTATGAACTAAGCTAAATTAGAAAACAGATATTCTTTTATGAGTGCTATAAACATTCCGTAAATGAAAGATGATAGTAAACCTACTGGATCCATTATTTCTTTAGGCAGAGACAAACTGCTGAGTTGATCATAATAAGCATTCAGTACAAATTCTTTCTCAAGAGTACCATGGAATGATGACAGAAAGTCGTAAAACGATTTCTCATCTACTTTCATTTCATCAGTTAATGTTTTCCATAAATGTATCTTCGATTCGGCGTGCTACAATAATTATCCAGTATGCGAAAGAAATAAATCAGACTAAAGTGCAAACACTTAAAAATTACAACGCTCTTACCGGAAAAGTGTATAAGCGATAACTTCGAATGAAAAAACTAACCCTGTCACCTTTGAATAATTTCTTCTTTGTTTCATAATTTGTCCACATTTCCAACGATTGCGGATCACTGACTTCAATGAGAGATGCTTCATAAGGAGAATTTTCTTCTATCATGGTGGACTAAAAATGTTCAAAAAGTGAGCAGAATAACAGATATTAAACTACATAAAAATATAACTGAAGTATAAGAAAAAAAATTTTTCTTTTTTGCAATACTTCAGTTACTAATCATGATTAAAGATCTGATAGATTGAGAAAATGACTGATTAAATAACACTTTTGTATTTTTGCTTCAATATTTTTTAAACGTATGGTATGGCCGTTCCTTTCAAGGTTCTACCAACTCTGCTGAAGAATTTTGTATTCTTACAAGGGGCTTGCTTGTGTCACCTTTCGAATCTTCTTCGTCTGCGCTTTCCTTTCGCATACGAGGATTTGAAGAACCAAAAACGTCTAAGCTGTCTTTATCAAAACTAAAAGTG